ATTGAAAACGTGATCCTAAAATTCATTCTTTGTAGTCCTGTGCATTGTAGGATATTTAGCAGCATCTCTAGATGCCAGCTCTCATCGATCCTTGGGTCCAATGGGCTTTGGAAGCCCGGTATTTGGGAGTCCCCTGTGCTCAGAAACATTAGATGCCAGAGACGCACGGGAGACGCCCCGCATCTGCCGTGACGAACCCCGACACGCCCCAGGCCCACCCGTGTCCCACGTTAATTCACGTTGTGCTGCTGCTGATCCTTCCAGGTGACGACTGGACACAATGAAACAAGAATTAAAAACCCCTTGCGATTGGGAGGTCGGTGGGACAACGCCAAGCTACCCTCCCTGCTTCTGACGACGGTTGCCAGGCCATCACCCCCCGCGGCCCGCCCCCCCCCCGCTCCCCGCTTCCTCCTCCTCTCTCCTGACCCCCGACTGGCACTTCTATCCGGGCTGCTTGCCGGCGGCTCTTTACCCCTGAGGGGCCGCACCCCCAGTACGGCACCTGGTCAGGCCCTGTCCCCGCAGTCGCCGCCTGGCCCGGAGCAGCCCAGCGCGCCCCGGGGAGCTCGCTGCACTCCGCGCCTGCGCCCCGCCCCCCGCGCGCCTTTGCAGTTGCGACCGCACCTGCTCATCGTAACGGGATGGCATTGCCCTCGCCCGGGTAGTGCCTCCTTCCTCTGCCAACTGGTCTGTTGATGTGAGGATTTAATAATGTCCCTCAAAATAACCAAATCAAAATAAATTAGATTTAGCGGAGCCCTTACTGGGACTTTTTGCAAAGTGCTCCCTTGTCCCTCTCCCCTCCCTCCATCAGGAAACTAGGGCCTCAAGTCCAGGCAAACCTAACGTGCAGGTTCCTCAGGGGACACTGAGGGTGGCGAGTGGACCCCTGTCCCTTGGTCCCACCCACCAGGAACCCAGCACCTCAACCCCTCGTGGTCTAGCCGGTGCCTCAGTGGTGGCATTTCGGGTACCCTGTGACCCTGGCCCTTCTACGTGCGGTGACCCACTAGGGCCACTGGACTCTGTGATCAGGTGCCCGTCGCTGCACCGCCTTTGACGTAAGCTGGTCCCTGGGTCTGCGGCAATCGCTCGGTAGGACTCCCCCAGAGAAGCAGAACCACCGCGGCGTACAGAACAAGGCGCTGTGCAGGGCAGAAACGTCCCCTCCGAAAGACGCCCACGCGCAACCCCCGGAACCTGTGACGACACTAGATTAGGTGGCAGAGGGGACGCTCGGGTAGCGGACGCAGTTGAGGTTGCGTGAGCTTACTCTGGAATTCTGGGGAGGCCCTAGCCAGAGCAATGCTATCGGAGGAGGACTTGACCTTTGAAGATGTTGCTGGCTTTGAAGATGGGGGGAGCCACGAGCCAAGGGATGCGGCAGAAGTGAAGGAAGCCATTTTCTCCTAGAGCTTCCAGAAAGGAACACGCGAGGTGTTGGCGGGGGTGGGGCTCCTTTCTCACTGCTGAGGGCTCCTCCCTATAATAAACATCAACACTAGTTTTCTATTGTTACTCTATTGCTACTCTAACAAAGTAACCAGAGAGGCTTAAAAGGACACAGTTATTATATTACAGACTTGCAGGTTCCGTGGTTCAGGAGTCCAAAGCAGGTCTCACTAGCAGAAAAGAACATGACATGGAGCAACACGTGACCCGAGCCGGGTGAGAAGTGGCCAGGGATGGGGACTTCGCCCTCGCCTTCCCCTTGGGACCGAATCAGATTAGGATTTATTTTTCTGGAAATACAGGGTGGGGCAAAAGTAGGTTTACAGTCGTGAGTACGCAAAACGCAGTTTATTCTTACACTATTATTAACTATTGCATTATTTTTCATAGGGACAACTATAAACCCACTTTTGTCTCACCCTGTATCATGTAATATTAACTCTCTTAACTATTGTTCTAAATGGTAAGTAAAACGTGTTCTGTGTAATGGAGCTGGTGTAAACTGCTGGAGAAAGCATTATTTATATTGGTTTGGGGGTTTGGGGGGAGCCAGTAGTCCTTTGGAAGCTTAACGTCCTTGGGTTTGCCATGGAAGCATAGGACACCCAGCCATGTGGAAACATCAGATAAGCAAAGGAGCAGTATTGTACTGTAAGGCTGTCTCCAGCGTCACAAGGGACATAGACTGATAGAGGGTTGTGGTTTATCTGAAGTGACAGGCAGGGCACGAAGAGGACTCCTACCTGTCTGTGGGGCAGAAACCATTTCGAAGGTTTCCCGCGGGGAATGACAGACTTTTATACTAAAAACGTTATCGTCTTCCCTTTCTGTAAGTACAAGGCCAGACTATTCAAAGTGCTCTACAACAAGAGCTATTTTTAGTACAGGTATGCGTCATGCAATACTTGGGACACCCTTACACTCAAAGAATTGTTCACCTGAATTCACATTTAACCGGATGCCCTTTTTATTTGGCTGCACCTGGCAACTCGGAATGGCGCGCACAGGCGTCTGCTCCCCCGTGGTCTTCAGGCGGCCCGTGCTGGCCAGTGGGGAACCAGCTTCTCAGGGCCCCGCTGGTTGTGAATCTACATGCGGTGACTTGCCCCCGCCTAGTGGTGAGTCTGCCAAGGTGCCACCGGCAAGGCCCCACCGGTCCTCGCCAAGCGCCACCTGGGCACCCCCCGCCCCCGCCCTGCCCCAGTCCCAGGAGGTGGAGGAGAGCCAGCGGGCGCTGTCACAGGCCTGCCGGCTGCTGGCAGGGCGCCCGGCGTACCAAGCGTTCTTTGGGAAAGGGCGGCCGACCGCTGTCCCTGGACAAGTGGACACAAGACGACTTCTCTGTGCGGAGAACTGCAGAGTGGAAGGTGTACTTTTACCCGATGAAACACATAATCACCTTTTTAAATAACTTCTGGAGCACTAAAGCATCATAAAAACTGGGAGTGGACAAGAATTGAGTACCCCCAAAAGTACTAGACTTGTTGTTATACATGTAAGGACTAATTTTTTTTTGAGAAAATAGATCATCTTTTTACTAGAGAGACGGGAAAATGTTTTTCTTCATCCATCCCCTTCCTTCCCCCTCCACCCCTCCCTCTGCAGGACGTTTTCAGGACGGGGGTGAGGGCCGGGGAGTCACTGGGGAAAGGCACGTTTAATATAAATTCACTACCAAGAGGTGTAGTTTCTCTATTTCCTCCCTCTTCCTCCCCGCCCCCCTGCAGAGCCAGAGTATCTGCTCCGCCACCGTCTTCTCCGCCTCCACACTCGCTGTCCCTTCACAGGCCGCCCTCTGGGGGGACACGCACGGTTCCTGGGTCCCTCCCATGAGAGACCGACCTCTCTCGCGCTGCCTCTTTCTCCTCGGTGTGTGTGCCTGTGTGTGTACACGGCATTCCCAATTTCCCCCATCGGTGAGCACACTGCTGCACGAACACCCACGCGCGTCCGTGTGGCCCACAGACCTAGAATTCCGTGACCCCTAAACCCAAGGGGAAAAGCAGCGAGAACTGCGTGTCACTGGTACTCGTCACTATGTTGAGGGAACAGGGCCTTTCTTGGGCATCAGAGGTGGATTTATTAAATATCTCCCTGTCCGTTTTGGAAAAAAAATGAGAAAGCTTATTAAAAACACCACGGTAGAGGGTTCCTGGTGGATGTCAACTGTGTTCAGCTTCAGGGTCAAGTGCTTAGATGGAGGGAGACCAATGGGCGTGGGAGACTGGGAGTCTCCTGAGGGGGAGTCTGTCCTGGGGAGAGGCATCCGGGAAGCGGAGCAGCTGTGGTCCAGGGAGCAGCGCAGGCTCGCTCCGCGGGCTGCGCTCCAGCTGAGCTCGCTGCTGAGCTGCGAGAAAGCAAAGCGCAAATGGGCTCCTTGTCGAGGACAAGTGGCGGGACAGCAGCGGCAGCGGTGGGTGGCCCCTCGGGGTGCGCGATGCTGGCCGTGCAGCCTCGGACTCAGGGACCCCCCTCAACCAGACACCTTGGGAAGGTGCCAGTTGCAGCACCTTTGGTGCATGAAAGTTTAGTAAGTGCAAGTACAACAACAAAATCGAAGACTTTTGGCCCCTCGTTTTATTACATCAATATACAAACTATTCACAGCAATACGGTTTAAGACAAAAACAAATGATATAAAAGGTTTTCACATAGAAACAATAACATTGGTATGTCCTCCCACAACTCAGCACACACAGAGACACTGCCAGGCACACACACTTGGTTCGAACCGCCCGTTTCCCCGCACACCTCCCCCATCCAAGGCTCCGGGGACGCGAGAAAGGCCCCACTTCGCAGAGCGCGGTGGCTCCTGGGGGCATTCGGACACCAGACAAACAGCACGTGACACGTCAGGCAGTCACAGGCCACAAGGAGGGGGAAGGGGGATCCCGCGCACTGTGATTCTTAGGGGCTCCCAGATGCTGCTTTCAAGATCACATAGCCCGTGGAACATACACTACATTCTATTTTTAAAATAATTTTTTTGTAGGTTGAAGTTCTCATCAGAGGCTGAAGTTCTCGTAGTTTCTAATGCTCTAATAAGAATCTAGACGTGGTGCTTTATGGCCCTGTAACGCAACACAGGCCCCGTCGCGCGGGTGTGCACGGATGCGATCACAGGCCCGCGCAGCTACATGCGCCTCGAAGACATTAACTGCGTTCCGCATTCATGCGGCACTACTGCTGGCTGTGAGGAGGGGGTCTTCCACGTGGATTCTTAGACTGTATCTAGCCACGCCAAGAGCCATCGCTGTGGTGGTTCCGAGGCAGGCCCTGGCGCCCCCACATCCACAGTCTTGGGACAAGGCCCAGCAGCCTATGAACATGCGCCTGGGGTGAGCTGCGGCAGCGGGTGGGGCGCGGCGCCAGCTGAGGCTTCCTGTCCCCAAGGCAGGCGAACCCAGGGTGTCCCGTGTGCTGCTGCCGCTGCCCAGATGCTGTTCCTGGAAAACCACAGAGGGTCCTCAACCCTGAAGATGCACTTCCACATCTCAGGGGCCCAGTTTCAGCGCTGTCTTTCCTTCCTTTCCTTCCTTTCCTCTCCTTCCTCCCTCCCTCCCTTCCTTCCTTTCTTCTTTTTTTTTAAGATTTTCTATTCTTTTTAGAGAAAGGGGAGGGAGGGAGAGAAACATCCATGTGTGGTTGCCTCTTGCACGCGCCCTACTAGGGACCTGGCCCGCAACCCAGGCCTGTGCCCTGCCTGGGAATTGAACCAGCGACCCTTTGGTTCTCAGGCCGGTGCTCAATCCATTGAGCCACACCAGCCAGAACTCACCAGTGTCTTTTAACTGTCATGTCCAAGATTTCTCCTGTTCGGCACCTTCACACCCTGTCACTAAGTTCTTCGCTCTCCCATTCCTTAAAAAATCAGCGTAGCATCCTATTTCTCTGTAACTTCAGTCACTGCACATTCTGATCAGCAGCTGTCACTCTAATAAGGTAGGAATCAGGCTGCTTAATGACTGTGCAGAATCACTGGTTTGACCCCTGAACTGTGGAAGTTCAGGGAGCTGTCACATAGGAGCCAACGCTCTTGGGAGGAATGGGTAGAACTCCTCAGAGAAACTTTAAGTATCACGTTCTGACACCTGAGAATGTTGTTTAGGGTGAGCTATTTTTTCAGAAAATCTTTTCCGTGGCAGTGGTTGCCAGCATTTCTAAAGAAATTTCCTGGGGTCCACTCCAGCGTCAGAAGACAAAGCCAAACATCTAAACATCTCCTGAGACATAAAGGTCTCCTCGGAATGGAGAATGTTGGGTGCCAGGGACAACACAGCACCCAGCAGCACCGTGACAGCCCCAGCTGACAGGGGCACAGAGACTCCCCAAGGCTCCAAAGTGTGCCGCGCTGACGCGGGTCCCGCAGGGAGACCGGGCATCTTTGGGAACAGACTCCTGTAAGACAGGCCCGAGGACAGGGCTTTGGAGATGCCCCGTGGGAAGTGACGCTGAAGGCTGGCCCCCCGATTCCTGCAGCTTGCTCTGTACACAGGTTAGGCCCACGCCTGTATTTTTAGGACCCATGACGCAAAGGTGTGTCTTCCCCAACGAGCATATGGCCCCCGCCAGGCCCGGGAGACGGGGCCCGAGGCCGGCGGCAGAGGCCAGCCTCACCCCTGATGGGCCGGAGCTCATCCCTGCCACACGCTGTCCTCCTGCCCGAAGCCGTTGCTCGCTCTGCTGACATTGTCTGCATCTTCGTTAGAGTAGTTTCCTGAATCCTGACTAGTCTGGGAGTTGTACGTTTTGTGATCTTCAGTCTGGTTAGTTTCTTTTATGGTGGCGATCGTGTCTCCATTTTCAATTATAAAACATCTTTCAGTTTGCTCCTCAGATGTGGAAAGCAGTATGTTCTTCAGTGACTGTTCGGAGATGTACTAATTTAGAAAAGAAGAAGAACAGAAACGGATCACTTAAAATGATAAAAATCAATCTTCTAGTCGTAATAGCTTTTGTTTCCTATTAGAAAGTCCGCCCAGAGCACAGCGCCTGCACTATCGCGCTCAGACGAAGCCCTGCACAGTGAGCCCACGGACGCCCTGGCGCCGCCCGCGGGGCGGGGGGCGGGGCCTGAGGACGGCACCCCGTGCTGGCGGCGCGGGCACCGAGGGGACAGAGGGCCGACAGCGAGGGCCAGGGACGGCGGGCGTCTCCCTGTGGGATATACGGGATATAAAAACTTCATACCTAGTCCACAAAGGTCCAGAAGCAGAGAAATGATAAATTAATTTTCCCTGTTCACCTAGGAACAGCTGTTGTCCACAGTTAGTTTTAAGTTCTTTAAATAGCGTGATGAGTACTAGTGGGTACGGGAGTGATTTTAAAAACTCAGGGATGGGGGAGGAAGATATGTACAAGAGTTTTGGGGGGGGCAGCCGGGGTGGGGGTGGGGCCCGCTCCCAGCCGCAGCGCCTGCGCCCCCGCCGCCCCACTCTCCTTCACGTCTCCCTGGCTCCAGAGCTCGAGCTCTGAGCCACACTCTCGGGACAGGCGCCCGAAGCCCCCGGGCAGGTTCCAGGCGCAGGCCTTCCGCATGCAGTGTTTCCCCTGACTGTCCCGGCCTCACGGAGGGACCCCGGGCCAGGTTCGGCCCTGGCGGTGCGTTTGGCCTTTCTGTGGCCACAAAAACTTTTGGGGATAAAACTGCCAGAAAAATAAGAGACTAAGGACAAACATTGCTCTTCCCTGCTACCTTCTGTCAAACAAGCGCTTCCAGAGTTAACTCACAGACCCGTAGAAGAAAAGACCCAAATCAGTCTGTCCTCTAAATAGCAAGAAAACCGTATCTATTCTGTCGAAATGCGATACGGTTCTCCTTTGTTTTAAGGAAAACCCCGCTTCCCTCAAAGAGCGACCTACCTCGTCGATGGTGGAGGGAGGCACACTACTGGGGAAGAACACGTAGTTGACCAGTCTCCGGAGGCCCCACAGGGTGAGCAGGAGCAGCGGGGCAGCCAGCATGACGCAGAGGACAGCCGCCAGCCAGGCGCGGTGGGAGCTTCCTGAACACAGGGCACGGAGCTTAGCGCCCACTCGCGTTGGACCACAGGTGAGTTCAACGTAGTGACAGTTTGCGTAAGAGAAATACAGCCGAGCCAAAGGAACTCTATTAAGTGAGAATCTCTTAAATAACCTCCTTAGGGCTGTTTCCGGCAGCACTGAGCCCACGCCTGCTGTCAGCGGCGACACGCACTCTTCACGAGGGGCTTCCCCGGGAGGGCACAGCACTGGCCCCGGGCGCCGGCCACGCAGCTGATGCCGCTCCGGGAGCGGAGGCACCAACTGGGGCCCACCCAGTCCCACGTGAAAAAACAAATTCACAGCGGAACTGACTGACTTCCACGTGATAACATGCCAAGGAGTATGTAAAAACTTTAAGTCTTACTTAATAATGAAGGGTGCTACTTACAGGAAATTAATTACACTGATATTGGATGAAATATAAAGCGTGCAAAAAACATTGAACGGAATTGAGTATTAACAATATTTTCGAAAACCAAATGACTTGGCTTGAAGGCCTTCTTTTGATTCATGGAATTCATGAAGAACATATTCTCTTTATTTTTGCAGTAAAAATGAAGAGCTTGCCAACTGTAAACGGCTGGAATTATCTATAGTAAGTCTAGTTCCCCTGCCGAAGAACATGCACCGCGCGACTCTGACCTGGTTTTGTCCTCTCGCACGTGGTCTCGCTGAACTCGCTGCTGTTGTTCCACTTCTTGGCCTTCAGGAGCGCCCTGGCTTTGATGCAGTACATGGTCAGCGCTTCCAGGTTCGGAAGAGTGAAGTCTGTCCTGTTCTCTACAATTTTCCTCTGTAAAAAAGAAGCGTATCGTTGATAAGATGTAGTTACCTCATGAAATCACAGACCGAATAGCTACTTTCTAAATTCTTTAAATAGTCCATCTCAGCCTGGCCTCTCCCAAACACAGTTGTTGTGTGTTTTAAGAAATATAAATTTGTGAGATTAACAGCTCAAGGAGACAGACAGAGATAGCAGATTTCTGCAAGTCTTGAACAGACTGCCTACGGTCACACAGGGTCAACATCTGACATCATGAGAGGCAGATCTAGAAAGGAAAAACATAGGTCTCCTACCATAGAAGTTCACACCACAAAGTCAGAAAAGCAAGACAGATCAATTTAAGAAACAGAAACAAAAAAGAAGGGTCTCACAAATAATGGGAAGACAAAGAAACATCCCCCAATCAAAGGGAAAGGAGGAATCCCCAGAAAGTTTACTTGCCTCTATTTCATTTAGTTCTCTATCAGATATTGCGTTCCAAACAACGGTTCTAAGGAAGCCCAATGAGCTCAGTGAGCTCGGAGAATTACAAAAAATTACAGGGAAACTACAAGGAACTTACTGCAAACTATATCAGCATGAAAAGGGACACAGAAACTATCAATAAGAGACAAGGGGAAATGAAGGATACCATTTTTGAATTGAAGAACACAGTAGAAGGGATCAAAAGTAGGCGAGATGAAGGGAGGATCAAATCAGCGAGCTGGAGGACAAGGGAGAAAAAAGCTCCCAGAAAGAGCATGAAAATGATGAAAGACTCAAAAAGAGTGAAGAGGCGTTTAGGGAAATGCAGGACAACCTGAAACATAATAATATCCGTATAATAGGGATACCAGAAGAAGACGATGAGGAAGGGATAGAGAACCTGTTTGAAGAAGTAATGATGGAAAACTTCCCTAATTGGAGAGATAAAGTCACACAAGTCCAGGAAGCACAGAGGGTCCTATTCAAGAGGAACCCAGTGAGGCCCACTCCAAGACACATCATCCTTAAAATGGCAAATCTCAAAGACAAACAGAGAATCCTAAAGGAATCAAGGGAGAAAGGTAGTCACATATAAGGGAGCCCTGGTAAGGCTAGCAGCTGACTTCTCAGCACAAACACTGCAAGCCAGAAGGGAATGGCAAGAACTATTCCCAGTCATGAAAAGCAAAGGCCTGCAACCAAGACTGCTCTACCCAGCAAGGCTCTCAATTAAAACGGAAGGCCAAATAAGGAGTTTCCCAGACAAAAGGCGGCTAAAAGAATCACCTCCACCAAACCAGCACTGCAAAATATGCTAACGGGACTGCTTTAGGATGAAGAAGAAGAGTCTATGAATCCCCAGTTCCTTTCACGGTCACCAATACTTGATATTACCAGTATTTTTAATACTTCTTAATCTGATTGTGACAATGATGTTATTTTAATTGTTACTCGATTATTTGTTGAAACTAAACCTGTTTTTGTATATTTCTTGCCTACTTATATTATTTTTAAAAAGGTTTACATGACTTTTTGGTATTCTTTATCCATTTTTTGATTAAATATTTGTAGAATTTATTCCCTAAAAACCCCCCCACAAAAAACTTAATCCTTTTTTAGATGTGCTGCAAATACTTTCCTATTCTATTACTTGTCCTTTAACTTTTTAAAATATGTATATTACTGTGTGATCTTAAATGTTTAATACAGTCATATTTTCAATATTTTACTTTATAGCTTCTGGGTTTGAATATTTCACTTCAGGGTAAGAAAAATATTTTGTATTTTCACCTAAAACTCCTTCGATTTTATATATTGATATTAACGCACCTGAATATTTTTTGTATTATTTGTGAAACAGGGCTCTGTATTTGTTTTAGTCCAAGTAATAGTGGTCCATGCACCTTATTTGTTGAATAAGCCTTATTTTCATTGATTTGAAATATCAATTTAATCATCTATTACATTGTTAGACAAATATATATGTTTGTTCCTAGAATGCTCATGTTGTTTCACTGATCTACTCGATTATTTCTGTGCTGGTGCCATGTTGTTTTAATTGCTGAGACTTTGTAATGGATTTAAATTTTTTAATATTTTATCATGGATTTTGACATTTAAAAATAAATAAATAAAATCAATTTGCATTTAAACACACAAAAAACAAACAAACAAGGAACTCCTACCTTTCATGACAACATGGATGGAACTGGAGAATATTCTGCTAAGTGGAATAAGCCAGTCGGTGAAAGACAAATACCATATGATTTCACCTATAAGTGGAATCTATTCAACAAAATAAACTAACAAACCAAATAAGCCACAGGCATGGAAGCATGGAGCAGATTGAAAGTGACCCGAGGGGATGGGGAAGGAGGTCAATGGTGGAAAGGAGAAGGGACTAGACAAAGGACATGTATGGGTGACCACGGGCATGGACGACAGAGTGGGAACTGACTGTGGGAGCGGGGGCAGGGGGTGGGATGGGTGGAGGGTGGTAAAGGGGGAAAAACTGAGACAAGTGTAATAGAATAAACGTAATTTAAAATACAAATTAAAAAAATATATAAACTTGTTTTGGACAACACATTATAACCAAGTCAGGAAGTTAAAGATGCCGCTGCCGAAAAGAAACATTGAGTGTTTTTAAGACAACCCTAACGTATTTTATTAAGTACATGCCGATGAGGTTTGCTCGCCACCACGGCACCTGTGCTTCGTGGCGGAGGGTAAAGGCAGGGACCCAGTCTGGAGCTGCGGGACCGCACGCCGCTCTGTGGCCCTGGGCTCGTGAGGCAGCAGGCAGGGCCGATGTGGACAATCGCCACTCCTCCCTGTGTCCGTCAGCCACTGCCACTGCGGCATGCGATGAAACATAACCCAGCGCCGTGAAGTATGATAAAACATTCCCTGGCTTCAAACACACCCTTTTTCTCACTCCTGAGCGTCCCCGCTGGCGGAGGGGCCGGCTCCATCCTCCCTGGACTGGAGCCTGCGCGGGGCACGCGCTCCTCCTGACGAGCCGGCTAAACCGAGCTCGCGCGTGCAAACCTCGGCTCGTGCCGTGCGCACGCCGCCCACAGCCCAGCCAGGGAGGCAGCCACGGGAAGTCATCCCGAGCATCTGCTGAAGAGCAGTTCCACTCATCTTCAAATCGAAACTGTCTGGCAGGGCTGCTCTGAAGAATGATGGAGACAATTCATATAAAATACTTCTTAGTGCGCACCTGATTGTAAGTATGCAAATAATGTGAGCTGCTGTTATTATGGTAGCTATTGATGAATGATCCAGCATAGGTTAGAATGGTAACTAAAGGTCACTTAATTTCTACCATTTATCAAGCAACGTGCTAGATATTACTTCATTTGTCACCTCATTTTAAATCTTAGAAATATCCTCCCATAAACTGACTGCTATGATCACCACCACTTCGAAGAAGAGGCAAGAGTCTCAGGGAGGAAAGCGCCTTCCTGAAGCCAGACGACCCTGGAGCCTGAGACACAAACCCAGGTTTTCCTCAACTAGGGACGACTAAGACTTGCCCGTAATGATCACTCGGCTACATGACACCGTGGCTACAGTGTGTTCTCAGAGTTAAAATGAAAGTTGCCAAGTAACTGGAATTTTCTTAGATTTCCAACAGAAAATGAAGTTAAAGAATTAACCAACTCAACAGCATACGATTTTTAAAAGCTGATTCTGTAATTGTAATTCTACAGGAAAAAGCGATCTAGGAATAATGTGGATTAGCTGATGCTGTGGATTATCTCTGCCAGTGGCTTTGAGACTCAGTGTTTAAACCAGTATTTCTGACCCTTTTTTCAAGACTGCCCCCCAAGGAGCCCCTTCAGACGCTGTTTCCTGAGCCATCCCCACAATGACGCTGCCGAGGAAGGGACAAGACCCCGCCGGGCCGCGGCGAGCCCTGGAGGCAGCTCTTCCCCGAGAGGGCCACCGCCACCGCCACAGCTGCGATTCTGCCGCCCTCGAGCCGCTGCTGCCCCGCTGGAGGTGCCCGGCCCCCGGGGGGAGCAGGCCTGGAGGCATTTTTGGTTGTCACGACTGGGAGGAAGCTCTGCGTCCAGAAGGAGGGCAGAGGCCAGCAACGCCGCTGAGCAGCCCGTGACACGGAGTACAGCTCCCCCAACAAAGAATGAGCCCAGGCAAATGTCAACGGTGCCGATGTGCGGCAGGTCCCGTTGATGCTGAGGAGTCACGTTAAAATGCAAGTTCCTGAGTTCCACCCACCGAGAATCTGCCTGACTGGGCACCGGGTCAGGGGTCTGAATTCTGAAAACCATGGGGGCCCGGATGCAGGTGAATTCTAACTCTGCTGTGCAAAACACGGGAAACACTAACATTCTTCATGCTCTAAATATAGGTGGTAATCACATAGTCTTAGAGTTTAAAAACTTCCCTAAATTCTTAACTTCAAACTTTTTCTTTTTTACCCAGTCAATTTTAGCTCTACATTAAAAATCATACTACACAGTCTTTTTACCTCAGCATTTGAAGTGTTTTCCCAAAAAATAATTTCATAGGTCAGCAGGTAATGCTGGTGCGCAGACTTGTTTTGAGAGCCGATAAAGACTCGCAGGGAGCTGCTGTTAACAGCTTTCATGATCACGACGGGAGGGAGGAGGACAGCTAGGAAGAACGGGTAAGGACACAATGTCACCTTGGGTTAGAGAGCATTCGGAATTTGCACCAAACCGAAGGCTTACCGCCCGAAGTAAAAGCTACGGGCTTACTCTGGCTTTCGGTGTCAAACTCCTTCTCTCTGGACCACGAAGACGTGCTATTCCCGCTGGAGGCTCGCACACGGAAAAAGTAAGTTCCTTTTTGGAGGGTGCTCTGGGGAAAGACACACTGGGCAGCTCTTGCGCCGTCACAGCCTGGTACCAGTGTCCACTTTGCCTCGTAGTCTGCGGGTCTTTTTTTGAAAAAGGCACTTTTAAGACAAAAGAAAAAACGTGTTTTGTTTTCTTTAGGCTCCGAACACATTAATTTGATTATCGAGTGCATACAACGGGCCAGACGTCCTGCAGGGGCTGGGCCGTAACGCCAAGTGGTCCCGCCCGCAGGAGACGGGCAAGGCACGGAGGAGGGAGGCAGGCGGCACCGGAGAAAACCCGAGACCTGCGTCCAGAGGGCGACCGGGCAGCGACGTGCTCGAGGCGGCTCGGGTCTGAGCAGTGAGTGGCCAGGAACTGCGAGCTGGGCGCCAAATACGGCCTCCTCCCCGCTGCCCTGCCAGGCCCGAAGGCCCCGCTGTCCCCGGGGCGGGTCTCCGCCACAGGGGCGGTGAAATTCCACGGGGGCCCTGAGAGGCCTGCACCCCGGTGCCCACATCGCCCCCGGGTGTGGGCAGGACCCACGACTCCTGACCAGGTTGCATCAGTACAGCACAGGTAAAGAGATTTTATAAATGAAATTAAGCTCAGGCCCTGGCTGGTGTGGCTCAGTGGACTGAGTGCCGGCCTGCAGACCAGGTCCCCACTAGGGGGCGTGTGAGAGGCAACCATACACTGATGTTCCTCTCCCTTTTTCTCCCTCCCTTCCCTTCTCTCTAAAAATAAATATTGTTTTTTAAAAAAAGAAAGAAATTAAGGTTGCAAATCAGTGGACTTTCCATGAATCCAAAAGAGGGTCTAGGGGTCAGCGACTGTCTTGTGACGCGCTCCAAGAAGCAGGCCATCGCGAGTTCTACAGCGAAAAGATGCCTCCTGCCGGCAACCACAGGCGCTCGAGAGAGGACGCGGCACCTCGTTCGGGACCACAGCCCCAGACCAGGCCCGGACGGCTGCCTTGTGAGGCGCGGAGCGGAGGGCCAGTGCAGCCCACCTGTGCTCCCGGCCAGGACCCCCGGAGGCCGCAGGCGGTGTTGTTACAGCTGCCGAGTGTGTGGCGGTTTGTTGCAGAGCCGTCGGAAACCAGGACCTCTCCCACCCGCCTCCTTGTACGGCCCTCCCTGTCCTGAGCTCCCTGTCAGCCACAGCCCAGCCCGAGGCGCCCTCCTCTGTCCATGTTACGTGCCTGAGTCAGCAACTGGCTCTTATCGAACGGCTCCACTGGCCTCTCCAGCCCCATCCACCTCTGTATTTTAATTCCCACTGCCTCACATAGTTTGCGTTTCATGCCTCAGTCCTACAGGCACTTTGCGAGGCAACATGGGCTCCCGGCTCCGGGTCCAGGTCTGTAGAGCCAGCGATTTTATTCCACTGGACTCAGACACCCCTTCAGTGCTTCGCCCAGTGTGCTGTGTACTCACAAGAAACTCAAGAGGCCAGCCTTCGGGAACCCCTATCCCTGTCCGGTCGGCAGCCCTGCTCCTGGACAAACTTCTGCAGGTGAGGAAGGCCCAGAAAGTTCCTGCAGCACCCTGATCGGCTGGCGAGGTCGCACGCACACGCCGTGGCGCGTACACACGGTGCTTCTCCAGTGCGCACCTGCTCTCGGCCCCCAGCTACCGCCACTGGACAAAGAAGCCCGCCCCAGCTGTGCCCGCCTCGTCGTCCCTTTCCCTTCCTGCTTCCCCTGGGCCTGCCTGAGGTCCCCTCCTCCTCTGCCCTGGACGCTGCCCTGCACCCTGTGCCCACCCCAATCTTCCTCTTCTTTTTTCTCTATTCGTCCCCTACAGTCTTCCATCAGCAGAGGTGTGTGCGTCAGACTCCATCCTTATCTTTCTCGTCTCCTGTCAACCGCGTAGGACACAGTTCTCCCCAGCTTTCTGAAGTCCCCACTCAAGTGCTCACTGAAAACTTGATCAAAGCCACTGAACTAGTCAAAGGGAACGGGGAGGCCACCCTGAATGGACCAGTCCCCGGGGCCACGCGGAGATCACGCTGGGACCTTGTGGAGCTGAGCGCTGCAGGAAAGGGCAGGCTGAGCCAGGCTCTGAGGGAGGGGCTGCCTGCCTCTGGGACCACGCCCTCCCAAGGGAAGGGACCAAGGACCGGGAAGGACACCGCGTGCTGTGAGGACACACTGTCTTTTGTGACGCAGAGCCGTAGGGCCTCAGCGAGCAGCTCGGCGTCACCCAGGAGGACCCGGCGGAGCCAGGACGGGCATGAAGCGTCCTGTCCCCCGGCACAGCCAGCTCTTGGGGGCCCGCACTGTGGCGGGGGCTGCAGCCCAGTGAGCAGCAGCAGAGGGCCTGGGCCAGAGAAGCCACGCGAAGGGGCCTGTATGAACGAGGACTTACGGGAGCCACTGAGCTTGGAAAGTCACGTTCTTGTGTGTGTAATTCCACTGAATAACATAGGACTGATTTTCCCCACTGACTCGTACGTTCTCTGGTGGAGGCAGTTTGTCCACGTTTTCAACTGGAAGACAAAGAACACAAAAAAACAAACACATTCACTCCAGTGAGCCGGTCTATGGCGAGAATTCTGAACAGCACTGGCAAGAAGGAGAAAGGCTGCGTTTTGCCGCTGAGAGTTTAAGTGCCGCGGGGCGTTCTCATGATGGGCTCTACGCAGCCACCCCGAAGGGCGTGAGGGACCAAGGGGTGCTGCTGATGCACGAAGACACCCCCAATGCACGGGGTGAAAAAGGAAGCTGTAGCCGCTATCTAGTGGGACCCGTTTTCTTGTATTTCAGAACACAAAACACAACTGCGGTAAGTGCGCACTGAGGTGAGCCCTGCGGAGTCTGAGAGGAGAGCCACGGGCGGCTTCGCTGACGAGGGGGCCGGGGAGGGGCCGGAGAGGCGAGCATCGCTTTGCAGCCTTCCCTATGGTTTGATTGGAAAAACAAGGCGTGCTACATTTATAATGAAAAGAAACAAATCTAAGCTCCTACCTTTGACCTGAATTGCTGGTAAGGTGTCACTGGTTCAACGGATCAGGGTGTGATCATATGTTAACATTTTGCTTACAAAAGTCTATTTTTTGGAAGACTCACTGTTCTTCTAGCACCTCCCTCCCTCTCTCGGTAGATACTGAACCAATGTTTTTGCTTATTAAGTGCTTTTGTTTTAATGTCTATTAAACCATCGTATAAATTTCAGCAATGACAGGAAAGATGTCACACTGACGGCCCACGGCGCTGCCCAGCACTCGCCGCCCCGGACGCGCGCCCCGCGCACCTGTGGTATTCACGCAGTACACAGGGCTGTCCACCGCGTGCTTTTTCAACAGGAAAATTCTCGCCTTCACTTTTAAGCAATAAGTTGTGGTGGGAGAGAGATCAGTAATTAGGTACTTGGGATAAGCAGTTTCCACGGTTGTCTAGAATGAAAAAAAGGAAGTCTGTTCTTTAAGAAAGCACAGGGTCAGGTTTTAGGATTAATTCACAACCTCCCCGTCACACGACACAGGGGTGGAAGCAACACACACCTGTCTGCCCGAAGCGTCCTCCCAGAAGGTGATCCTGTACCGGAAGCTTGACTTGTCCATGTCCCACATGCCATTGTCTTTTGTTCCCGGAGGAGAGATGTTTATTATTATTGCCTTATCTTCGGCTTCTAAACGTACTTTTGGAGGACCAATTTGAGCTGTAAAAGTCAAAGCACGCACTGTGTGACTTCACCCACACAGTACTCAGTTCCCGAACGAGTAATGACTGCTTCGTGTGTGCCCGACGGGCTAAACCACAGGCTGCCCTCGCGGAGCTCACGCTTTCTCGGGGGACACAGCGGGAACCCCAGCAGACACGTGCACACGCCCCGTCCTGCGGGCTCAGGCAACACGGAGGAGCACAGAGGGACGAGGACAGAGCGAGAGCTGTCACAGGCACGCCAGGCAGGGAGGGCGCCCCGAGACCCGCTCTTGAGGGAGAGAGTATGTGTCCCCGGCGGCGGCGCTCTGGTGCCAGCCCTGCGGGGGAGGGCCGGCCGCCCTCGGGGGGCAGCTGGGCTCCAGTGGCCGATGCGGGTGGGGGGCAGCAGGGGCCATGGAACCGAGGGCTGCGCCTGGGCCAGGGCGTCCTGGCGGACGTCTGAGGGTGCAGGGCAGCCGGGCACAGCTGCTGCAGCAAGTGCTCCAGCTCCAGGGACAGTGCCCGGGGAGGGTCCGCAGTGCCTGCGGAGGGACAGGCCCCTGCCTGCGGTCCGTGCTGCCGGAGTGCGGGGAGTCGGGGAGGGAGGGGCAGGCGAAGACGACCCGAGGCCCCGGGCCTGAGCCGACGCGAACAGGGCCGGGCAAAACCAGAGACCAGTCAGCCGGGAGGGGCAGCTGAGATGCCTGGGGACGCCTGGGCAGAGATGCTGGCCTGCGAGCGGGCGAGCCACGTCTAAGGTGTAGGGCCGGGGTGGGGCCGGGGGCCGGCCTGCAGCCTGAGCATGGACGGCGTGGAAGCCACCGGCCACCCATGGGGCGAGAGCAGAGAGGAGCTGGGGCAGAGCCCGGCAGTGGCCTGGGCGAGGCGTGGTGGGCACAGGAGCCACCGAGGAGCAGGATGGGCAGAGAGGGCCGTGCCCTGGATGGCCAGGGATGCCAGGGTGTCCACAGAGGGAGGGGTGACCACATCGATGCCACAGGGACACGGACCCCGGGGAGGTCGGGCCGTCGTGGGTGACCCCGAGGCGGGGGTTCCCTGCAGCAACGAGGCACGAAGCTCGGAGAGGGCGGAGGGGATTGCGGGGAGGGGGCACAGAGCAAACGGGCCCAGACATCTCAGCCCTTTCAAAGGAGCCGAGGGTCCCAGGGAACGTCTATTCGTGTGGGTTATGGCCTTCGATGTTTAGCATGTTAAACATTAACATTGATAAAAATTTAAAACATTTCATTCATTAAGTATAATGATTAAACCACTATAACAAATACTTGTTATAAAAACTATTTCCCCAAACCAACCAACCACTTAGCAAGAAGAGTGTGCTGTTTCCCACTCTGTTCGAATCTCCTTCTCGTCCAGCCTATAAAGGGGACGGGCGCACCGCACCGCTGCCCCGCGCGCTGGCCGGCACCACATCCCCCCGCCACGGCGCCTGGAAACGCCCGCGCGCTCACAGGGGGCTGAGAGAGGCAAACAAGCCTTCCGGACTCTGCTGGAGCTGCTGCAGCTGGACAGCCCCTCCGGGGGGCGGGGGACCACATTTTGAGAGCCACCCCTGCGGGAAAGCCAGGCCGGGGCAGGGACGAGAGGGCTCAGTGGATCTCCGTTTTGTCTGAAGGTGGGGCACTGCTCATCCCGGGAAGCGAGCTGTCCTGGCGCCACTGAACAAACAACGCGACGGAACGCGCGCGCCGCTTTTCCTTACCTTTCAGATACGGTATGAACCAGTCAAGCTCCTGCCATGGGGAGGTGTTATTTCCTTCTTCTGCTCTTATACGCAATTTAACTTTGTCATAAACATTTGTGTTGAGAGAAGAAAAGTCGCAGTTGGTACTAGCAACACACTGACACCCAGGCAATTCCATCCAATTATTCATCTCTAATCTTTAAAATAAAAAAGCAGACGAATGAATGAATGAGAAAATGGATACAGAACAAAAGAATGTCAGATGTGTCTTCTGTTTACTACCGTTAGAAAGCTACTTTGTTATTTCTTCTACTAGAGTTAACGTCCTGTTGACACGCTAGTGTGTAACCTTCACTTTTTTAATGCACGTACCCCAAGTTCTCATTCATAAAAAGGACTCATTTTGACATACACTTTGTAGCTCAGTTCTATAATTTTGTGGGGGGCCGCCTTAGGATTTCAACGCAGAGACAGCAGTGACCCATGACTATGTGTCACTGGACTCTGTGGTGTGACTGCTGGCCAGCTGGCTGCGTTCCTGGGTGGTTGTCTCTGTCCTGAAAACCTGGGGGCTGGCCCCGACCGCTCCAGTCTGACCGCCTCCTGTGATCGGGTGTCTTGGCCCTGACGGAGGCCTCAGAATCCACAAGGGCTGAGAATTTTCTCTCCCCCTTGAAACCAAAACGTCCCTCCTTCCCGGGATCTCCCGGCCCCATTCCACCACATCACCAGAAGCAACGCCCCTAAAGGAGCGTGCGCGAGTACGTTCCTCCGCACGGACCGAATCAATCAAGATGCTCAGGGATTAATGCGGGATTCCTTGGGCACATGAGGAAATCGATGGCCACCCGGCGCCCACGTGCAACAAGGGCCTGAGGTGGGGATGAGGGGCAGAGAATGAACACGAGGCCCCACACCTCTGCCTGCGAAGCCTGCCCTCCTTGAGGCAGAGGAGGAGCCTGTGGGAAGGTGGTTTGGTCCAGCTTGGTTCAGAGCCTGCCACTTGCTGATTCCTCGTTGGGACGCTGCAGAAATTGCTTTAAAGATGTTTTATGACAGCGGAAACCAGGGACAATAACCAAGTAATCTTGGTGCCGATGCATATTCAAGTCTACCCTCTTTTCCAAAATGGAAACATTTTAAAAAATGACCAAAAACACACCGTAGCACATGGCACACTTCCCTCTCGGTCGGGCCCTCCGCAGCGCCACCTGCCTGAGCCGCGAGCTGAGCTGCGCCCGGCGGCTCCTTCATTCGATGGCCGCGTTCCTGAAAGACGCCTCCGCACCACAAAACCCTGGCTTTTTTTTTGGATAGTTGTATTCTACTTAAATGCCACTTATTAGCAAACAACAATTCCAGAGAAAGAAGGAGATGGGAGACAGTCCAGGACGGGGACACAGCACACAGATCTCTTTCAATCAGGGGCGCGGAGGGTCAAGATGGCCAAGGGGATGCAAGACCCTGGTCATGCGCCGTGGCCCCGTCATCTGAAATACTCACTGTAAACAGGAAACCTCCTAAGAAATTTAAAATTCTAAACAAAGAAACAAACCAAAAAATCTAAAATTCAACCCACCCTCGTCTGTCCTGCCCACGCCACCACCACGGCTTCTGCAACCACGGGAGCTGGGGCGGCAGGTACTACTTGGATTATTTCTTAAAAAACAAAACAAAGCACTTCATCTTATACAGTACTTAGATCCAGGACAGAATGTGAAGAGGAACGAGTGGCCCGTCTAAAACTGCTGTCGAAAGACGGGTTTGAGAAAAGAGGTTCACGCCACCCCTGTCTGAGCCCTCGCTGCGTCCTGAGCACCCAGGCGAGGGCCCGGGTGGGAGCCACAGCACCCAAGGTGGGCGTCCTGACTGACTGTGTGCAGAGGTCTCACGCACTGCCATCCTGGCCTGCGCGGGCCCCTCCGGCCCGGTGCCGAGCAGCTTCTTCGTGGGTCGTCACTTGTCTACAGCGACGTGTCCTCTGCTCTGAGAACACCACCCTCGCTGAGAAACCGTGGCCCGCCGCTGCCACACACGGCCCGCCGCTGCCCCGAGCGCTTGCTGTGTCGCTGTTCAATACTCACAGCAACCTCCTCAGTGAGACACTTCACTATTGGGGTGTCCTCGCCGGTGTGCCAGGGACAGTCCCAGTGTGAGCTGGTTGTTCCAGCTCCTACAAAGTTACGTGCCTCTTTTCACTCTCAAGAGCAGCTGTTTTGGATGCTAAAATGCGTACATGGTTTTAGTTTTCCTCTCTACGTACGCAGCACACAAGGCAGTGGTGGAAACCGCAGGCGGCAGAGGCCAGCTTCACCATCACGTGGCACCGCACGGCACCAGCTCCCCCAACGTGCGGCCAGGCGTGTGTTCCGAAGTCCGCGGCTCGCCGAGCTGGCAGAACTCAGCAGGGGAAGACACGCGACCCACGGCGCCCGGGCGCAGGCGGAACGGGGGCAGAGGAGGAGTGTGGACGGAAGAACCCACGCGAGCAGCAGCCCACACGAGGGAGGAGCCCGAGAGCGCAGCCCGGGCTCTGTTCTCGGACACGGGCCACTTTCAGTGAGAGTGTCCAAGGTCACCTCTGCCACGCTTAAAACAGTTGTCGGGCAAGACACTAAACTGTCTTTTCTGAACTAAGGCAAAGAACACAATCGGTAACAGATGCCAACGTTAAATTTAAAGAAATCCCCTAGAGATAACAATTCTTACGTGGGGTGAGCAAATGCAGGCTTATCGTTGTTCATAGGAGAAACAGTACAATAATTAATAAGTGATCATGCAGGAATAAGCGCGCTTCACACACACACAGCTGTAAACCTACCTTTGCCTGCCCTGTATGGCCAATTCTGAGAAAACCGTGTGTGTGTGTGTGTGTGTGTGTGTGTATGCGTGTGCATGTACACGCTCCCACATACACACGCTCACACGGTTTCACAGTCTCCCTGCCAATAAATGCAGAACAGGGGCGGCATGGCCGTGAGTCGGTGGGGGGCGGGGTGGGGGGTCCCGCTCCTGATCAGCCTGCGTCCATGTTGCTGGTCACCTGCTCTCTAGGACAGGGAGCAGCGGAGCCGGCAGGCCCCGGCACCCAGGCAAAGCACGGCCCTTCCCGAGCTGTGTCCTCCTGGAATCCCTCCTTCTGCGGCCCCCGCCTGCCCATCCCGCAGCCCCGCGGAGCGGCCAGTCCGCACTCGGGACCAGGCCCTGGAACTCCAAGCTCGGGGGCTTACAGAGCGCAGCTGCCGTGCCGACGCCGTGTGGGATGGAGGTGAGGGGACCCTGTGCACAGGAGACCTGCTGCCCAGGCCCAGAGCCGGAACAGGCCTTCCTGGGTTCTCCCCGCCGCCGCAGGGGCTGGCAGAGCTCACGCTCAGACCCCAGTGTCTGGCTGACGCAGGCGGAGCGTCCTGAACAGACAGTCCAGCCAGCCCACCATCCCCAGTGTCTCTGGTGGCAGGGCCCAAAGACAAATGCATCTAAGGCTCTATTTGCAGAAAAGAAGTTACAAATATGTAGACATGAAAATTTCTTAAAAAAATAAACCAACGAAATGTTACACAAATCTGAAAAAAAAAAAAAAAAAAAGGATGGTACTAGAACTATACAAAGGTTTCCGATGATTCCAGCCACCCGGAAGACACGTACGTTTGGTAACCTGCTGAGAAAGTCACGTTCCTGCCGGGGCTACTTCTGCCGTCCCACTGCAGGATGAAGGTGTCATCGATGATGGAGACTTCTACATTTTGAGGAGGTTTTAGATTTGTTCCTCCTACGAAGATAACAAGAAAGAAGAGTTACGGATACGCTACAGACATTTAAAAAAAATATTTTATTTACATATTTTTAGAGAGAGGGGAAGGGAGGAGGGAGAAAGAGAGGGAGAGAAACATCCGTGTGAGAGAGAAACATTGCCTGGTTGCCCCGTGCACACCCCCAACCAGGGACGGAACCCGCGACCCAGGCGCACGCCCTGACCCCGGCTGGGAACTGAAAAGGCGACCTTCTGGTTTGCAGGGTGACGCCCAACCCACTGAGCCGCACCGGTCAGGGCCACTATGGACACCCTCAAAAATGTTAGTCTCCTCTTCACCTTCCTGATTAAAGACTAGATACACTTACATGTGATAAAGTGTGTAAAAAGTCTAAGAACACCTAACGATTGCTTTTAGCACAGAAAAGCTGCTAATTATTTATATCTCTGCATCTGAGAGCTGCAAAAAGATTTTTTTAAACCTATAAAAAGTGTTACATGTCAATTATATCCCAATAAAAGTGGAAAAATAAAGGAAAAAAGTAGGCATTGTCCTTTAACTGAAAAAAAAATTCTCTGTATAAAGAGAGTTTTTGTTTGGTCTTGAAGTCACAGTGACGTAGAGGACATGGGGTCCGACTGTGTATGGGTCCACGTCCTCTGTTCACAGACAGGCCTTGGATGATGGAGACCTGGACCGATGGGACTTCAAAGCTGACAGCTTTTCCCAGGAAGAGACTACGCCGAGCCCAGCCGGGAGACAGGGCGGCGCGAACGTCTGCCACACCGGCTGAGCCCCCAGGACCCTGAGAAAGTCCCGACTGCGGGCTGGCCGCCCTGGGCCTCCCACGCATCCGTGAGGACTTCGTCTAGACGCCTCCTTTGTTCCTTACGCTGCCAGTGTGAAGCTCTCACCAGCTGGATGCCCTCTCTTCTCGCTTTCCCTTTCTGGCAACTGCAGCCCACATCTCTCTTCTCCTCTGACCCCCTAAACCCTCCGAGACCCAGCTCAAGCTTGACCCCTTCTAGAAAACCTCCCCCCGACCCTACCGCTCACGCTGGCCCTGCAATCCTGCACGTGCCGCACCAGGAACCTGTACGGCTCCATCCCACGCTGAGGCCGATGAAGAAGTGGTGAGCAAGCCCCGGCCTGTCACCGAGGAGGCTCTCAAAACGGGTGGGATGAAGATGTTCTTGTGTGTTAAACACAAACCTGTGGCCAGACTGCAAGTGCTCTAAGGGCCGGGTCTCTAAGTACAGCTGCCAATTGACACTGCGTCTTTCAGGGAACCCAGCACGATGCTGGGTTCACAGAAGCTTCTTCAATGGCACGAAGGTCTGGTTTCTCACTGTGACAGACCTCAGTTTTTAAAAGACCAGCTTCTACATTTACTTCTGGTTCCTGCGATATTTCTAGCCTTTACTTCTGCCTCAGGGCAAGCAGGCTATCTCCCTGCAGACTTTTTCAACCATGGTGTCCCGCGGAGAGTGCTTCCTTTATTGGGACTGCTTCCTCTTTCCCGCTGGAGAAATTATGGTGTGGAAAGAAGGGGGAGGCAGTAAAGAAGCTGTTTTCTGCTTTTGTTTTTTTTATTGAATTCAGGGAGGCACTCATGGCCTGCCCCCACCCCATGTTTCTGATTCCCGCTCCTCACCTGAGACCTCACCCCTGAACGGAGCGCTCCCCCAGGCCCTCCTTGGAACGTCATTCATACTGCGTGTGCTGGAGTTTTACAGTCCATGCAACTAAAGGGCCGTGAATGCCGAGGCTAACAAAGATCGGATAGCATTTGTAGCATCCAGTCTAGAACATTCCAATTCTACAGTTCAGGGCCTTGAGATGGGAAGGGGAGGTCTGAGTGGATTTCCTTAGGATGCAGGCCTTCTGCTCAAGGAAGAAGGCCCTGGAGCTCCAGGCATCCTGGCACGTGAGAGATCAAAAAATGACCGACTGATACGCGGACAGAGACTTGGAGATGACAGTTTATTAAACAGGATTTCAGAGTTCATAGATTTCGTGCTATTACTATTAGCAGTATCCTTGTGATAATAGTTCACTTCGGGCTCTTAGCATATCAACTATATAAATGGGTATTTAACCCAAACTTGTACTTAGACAATTGGTTGCTTCCAACTTTTCATGTTCATATTGATAACCAGACAGTTACTATTTTTAAATCTGAACACATACATCTATACAAGTATAAATCTCCCCCATATTTTGGATCGTTTCCTTAGGGTTCCAGAATTGCATTTACCAGGTTTTAAAGTATAAATATTTCTATGGCCTCAGAAGACAGAGCAACATTACTATGATCTCAAGCTCAGGTTAACATTTCACTTAGTTTTGAATGTTACTATTCCGTTGAGAAAAAAGCAGGTTAACTGAAAGATGGGCTCTGAGGCCTGGTTTCCAGGGTTTGACTGCCCACTCACTACTGGCCTGCGATGCTGGCCTCCGGCAGGTTGCACAGCCTCTCCTCTGCAGGAGGAGGGCACTGGTGCCTCGCGGTTGCTTGGAAGCCAAATCATACAGTTTCAAGAGTGATTTTCCACCTTTTTCATCTCGTGGCACACACAAACTAATAAAATTCTGTTGGCACACCAAAAAAAAAAGGTGTAATTTTGGGCCAATCTGACAAAAAATAGGTATAATTTTGATTCATTCGCACTGGACAGGTATGGTCATGTTGGCTGTTGTCATTTTTTATTTGACCATCTAACGGAAAAGAGGTCAGTGCCCCTGACTAAATCGTCTGGTACCATCCTTACAAACTTTTGTGGCACAATGGTTGAAAATCCCTGCTTTAAAAACACTCAAGAGTAGTGCCTGGCATATGAAATAGTTAAGAGCATAATAAATTACTACCTCTGTATAAAATTTATTGTAGTGGTTCTTTTCTAATCTACATTAAAATTAGGATCTTTTAAAAAACATGTACTTATTTTTCAATTATGGGTCTTAATGCACATTCTCCTGAAATGTTACTTTTATGCAAAAACTCTGGGGAAGCTCTTATGTTAAAGTAAACACAAGTTTAATGCAAATTTTCACGAACCAAAGACTTCAAAGAAATGATCACGGATTGCACCCAGACCCCGTCACCACCCGCTGAGTACACCATACCCCGTATTAGCAGCGGAGTTTGAGAAACAGGATACCATGCGCCACATTCGGGGGCGGTTTTCTAAGCCAAAGGTTTTAGGCGGCCTTCCTGACCCCGGGGTTCCTGCCCTCGGTTGCCAGGCCCTTTCTTTTGGAGAACCCCGCCGGCCCTCCCGCCCCACTGCAAAATCAGCCTCACAGCAGCTGCCATCCCCCGCCCCCCGCCCCCGCGCCCGTACATCCTGGCTAAGTACTAAGACGGACAGCAAAGGAGCCCGGAGGCTCCAGCCTTTGTATTCTGGCCCTGTACCGGTCCTTTGTTATTATTTTTTATTAGACTCTAGGAATGCCGAGTGCACGGAAAATTCCCGGAATCTTAACTCCTTCTCACGTGGGACGACCTATTTACAAAACGGAGAAAACGAGTTTCAGGGACAGCAGCACACTCCCGTGGCTCACGCTTCAAATCAAACGGTCCAGCCGGGCTGCCCAGTTTTCGACCAAGGAAACAAGCTCGACCCGAAGGCTCTCGACACCCAGCGCTTCGCGGCGAGCGGGACCTCGGGCACCGGGGCGCTCGCCGCCAGGGGCGCGGTGGACGGAACTTGCACACCATTTCCCCTTGTTTAACTCTCCAACCAAAGTCGGTTTCAACCTGAGCGCCGTGGCCACGAATGACCACAGGTCTCCCAGAAAGACGTCCGTGCTGTGCTACCCACATCCTGGGGCGGCGGCTTCCAGCGCCGCCGCAGCCCAGCCCGGAGCGTGCGCCCGGACCCCCGTCTCTCACCTGCGGCTGCGCGCAACTCCCACGGCGGCCCGGCGACCAGAACCAGGGTCGTCACACCCAGAAGGCCGATCATCCTCCGCGGCCCGCCGACAGCCCTGCCGTTCACAGCGATCGCCGCCCTAACAGTGCCGTGCTACCCGAGGGGAGCCTCAAGCCCGGGCACAGGAAGAAGCCCCACCGCACGCCCCGCCCCATGCTCCTTCTCCACCTCTTACCCCTAGCTCCTGCGCACGCGCCGCCCTCCGCGCACGCACCGCCCTCCGCGCACGCACCGCCCTCCGCGCACGCACCGCCCTCCCCGCACGCACCAACCTCGCGCAGGCGTAGTCCCGCGATTCCACCGCCAGGGCTGGCGCCCGCGGCTTGGACCACCCCCGCCTGGGAAAACGTCTGCTCGCTCCCACTCTTTCGGGGCAGTGACTGCTTGCTAGGCGTCCACCCTCTTCTCGGAAAGCAGCGCCTAAAGCGAGCGCTCGATTCTCTCAACGACCCGGCACGCTGCCAGTGCGCTTGCGCAGGCGTCGCTGCCCGGAATTTCTTCCCTTCCCCGCGGGTCCCCGCGCCGCCCGCCGACTCGGAGTCCCGGAAAGCAGTGTCGAAGCGCCTGGGGGTTTAGGGAGGGCGGAAGCTGCCGGCGGGCCAGGCCGTTTCTGAGCGCAGAGCGCTGCCAGCCAAGGGCAATGAGGAGGCTGTCCGGTGTCCAGCGCTCGTGTTCGGGGCGGTCCCGGCCGAGGGAAAAACGCAAGGCTCCGGCCTTGGGGACCGCGACACTTACCAGGAGCAACTTGAGTTTGCCATTCAGACGGTTAAATACCTTACTAGATTATGGGCATTATGAAAATAAGCAAATGACACGTATAAGCGATGAGAGGTTAAATCAATTAAATGCTTAGCAGTTAATTACAACACCTAACACTATTGATGATCGATCATAAGGCAAAGTGTTTGGAGAGAACAACGCGATTGAATGTGTCTTACAGCTTTGAGATATAATTTACATGTCATGGAATTTACCCATTTTAAGTGAACAGTGATTTTTAGTAAATCTATCTAGTGAAAAACTTTGGGTGATCACTGTGTGATTCAGCGATTCTTTGGTTTGATTCTATCAGTGCTTTGTTTTCATGATGTCATGGATGGAAAAATACTCCACGAGAATATGTAAATCCAAATGGAAGAACAAGATTCCTGGTTGCAATGACTAAATCACTCTTCAAAAGATTTTCCAAGGACTCTTGGATTTAAAATTCCATTTCCTGCTGCCGAAAGTTTCCATGCAAACTAGTTGGAATAGGTTGCATTTTTTACATTTAGGACGGTGAACCCCATGCCAACTGAAACATTTCATCTGGAAGATTTTTTAATGTTGCCCCCCGCCACTTTCATGGGCAGCTAGAGTTTTTATAGGTGCACACAGCGTTTTTGGCAACAAAAATCACATCAAAAGGGAAATACCCTTAAATGTATTTAAAAGTGCAAGAGTTACATGTACGTTCTAACTATATAGTTGCTTTTCATTTTTACTTAATCACAATAAAATCCTTGTTAAGGTGTAACAGCAGGAGGTCAAGCCTGGGATCTTGACTGCTCCTTCGGATGAGCAGAAGAATCCACGAGGAGGGCTCGGTGGGCTAGACGTCCACGGTTATTACTCGTGCAGCACGGGGCTCTGACCGCGGTGGGTGGGCGAGCAAGTCCACGCCCCAGGGCCAAGGGGTTCAAGGTGAAAGCCCTGCCTGCGACTCTGAACTACAGTGCCTCAGTGTCAAGAAAAGGCCAAGAAATAGTCCCAAGACAGGAACTCCCAGGAGTTGACAAGGGGGGAAGTTTTACAGTCCATTTCCAAAAGAAGGCACGTTCCTGCTGGCCGGCTGCCCTCTGGCTGGGGCCCTGTAGCCCTGTATTGACCCCACATGAGAGATTCAGTGGTTTGTTTTGTTTTCCAGTATCGGTGACATGCCACGCCTTGTGAGCCACCTGAAAAAGGCCAGGGAGCATCTTGTAAAAAAAAATGAGCAACGTGTCTTCGGGTTGACAGCGTGTTCATGGCACAGACTTTCGTGGTCTTTCCTCATCTTAATACAATATATTGTTAATGTAGGGTTGCATTTTAATAAAAACTTAGATTGCTTTAATAGTATTTACCAGAGCGCTTGATACACTTCAGTTTCAGTGTATTTGCCGCAGTACTTTGCGGGCAAACCATGAATCACTTTTCCCTGTGGTGAGTACCAGCCCTCTTACTCTAACCCAGGACACGCCCACCCTGAGTCAACTCAGAATGATCCAGCTGAGGTTACGCTTTGAGTTTTTTCATTAAGTGTGTTCTTTTAAACTTTTTATTCTGAAAAAATTTCAAACTTCCAGAAAAGTTGTAAAAACAGAGAATTCCTGCAGACCTTTTGCCCAGAGTCACCAAATGGTTAACGTTTTGCCACATTTGTGCTCTATACACATATACAAGTACAGATACAAACTCAACGTATATATGTGTATATATATTGTTTCCCTGAACTTCTTTAGACTTGGCCTTGGTCGTCCGTGACACTGGCTTTAAAAAAATAATAATACAAGCCCAACGTTTCATAGGGTACTTCGCAACTTGGGCTTGCCTGGTGTTTCCCTGTGATTAGATTCAGCCTCCATGTTCCTGACCAGGACACTGCACACATTGTGTGGTGTCCTCAGAGGTCCCATATGCTCACCCACTGTCCATTCGTCCCTTCGTGGCAATGCTAATTTTCATCCCCCGGTCAATGTGATAGCCAGTTTCTCCACTGTATAGTCACTGTTTTCCACCTTGCAACCGACTTGTGGAGAGACACCCTACGATCCTGGAAATGCTCTGCTTTCATCAGACTTTTTCACCGAGAATTGGCATCCATGAAGGGTCCGTGCAGAAGCAGCCTACCGCAGGCTGCGAAATGGGAGTTCTGACCTGCCTCTTCCACTGCGAGTTTTATGTTGTTGGCATAGCATGAGAGTGCTTTTCGTCTTTCCATTTATTATCTGTATGCACTCATAGCGTCTTATTCAATCAGTTATAGTTCATTACTATCCCTATTTGCCTATTAAGTTTTTAGATGACCATATTTTGCTGTGTATAATGTGTACTTTTTGCCCAAATTTTTGAGGGAAAATAAGGATGTGTATTATACATGGTATAATTGTTACGATCCCCGCAAGTATGAGCTCAGAAATTAGAGTTTGATCACACACTCTTTATTATTTGGCCAAGTTTTACCTGCGCAGGGGCCACCTTTCCCTCGAAAGGAAAAAGGCGCGCCGCTGTAAGGGTACACGGGTTTTTATAAGCAGAGCAAGCAAGCAAGATACAAGGGCAAAAAGCGAGAAGTGGCAGTTAGCGATAGGCAGCTTCTTTCTTTTTTTTTTTTGCTGATTAGGTTCAAGGCTGTTACTGGGCCCCCTACTCTGTCTTTCTCTGGTCAGGATGTTTATCTGAGGCAAGGCTCAACCGTTGCCCTATGCCTCCTCCTCATTCTTGTCGACTCTGGCCCAGCTGCATGGGGGCTGCACCCTGATATGTTTTTCTTGGTATTAGTTTCTCCCTTATCCTCAGCTCTGACCCTGCTTTTACCGGCTGTTTATCTGAGTCAAGGCTCAGCCGTTGTCCTATCTTGTTACTAAGGGGGGGCTCTAATTCTTCCCTTCATCTTGGGGTATTGTTTGTTCTAGTTTCTTGTTTCGGCCCAGGCTTGACCTAGTGTTAAAGTTTGGCCCCTTCATTCCCCCCTTTTTCTTGTTCATCCTTTGTCAAACCCTTGACTCACTGTCTTCTGTGGTTAGTAGGGTATAGGGCTGGGACAGTACCATCAGTTTCACAACCTCTATACGGTCCCGCACAAATGCTATGAGCTTATTCAATATTATTGGGCCAAACAGCAGGATTAGCAGGAAGATTAGGACCGGCCCAGCTAAGGCCGACACTAGGGTAGTCAGCCAGGGTGAAGCTTTAAACATGGAGGCATACCAGGAGGAATCACCTTCCTCACTATCCCTTTCTTTTAACCTATGAGTCAAAATTTTGATGTTTTCCCTTATCACTCCCGAGTGGTTGGCATAAAAGCAGCATTCTTCTCCTAAAGCAGCACAAAGCCCTCCCTGCTTCAAAAACAGAAGATCTAATCCTCGCCTATTTTGGAGGGCTACTTCTGCTAGCGAGTCTACTTGCTTCTCTAGATATATTACCTGCTCTTGTAGTAGGGACACATCCTTAGAGAAAGTTTGTGACAGCTGTCGTAGACTCATTTCTCCCTGCACAAGGGCACCTGCCCCTAGGGCAGCAGAGCCTACTATTCCGATTGTAGCTACGATGGGGACAAACAGGGGGACCCTCTTAACTCGAGGGGAGGGTTGTGGCAGGAAGTTAGAATCTCCCCCATATAGATAAACTTGGGGAATGATATAGGCACTAACACAAATATCAGGGTTTATGGGGGCTATGCATTTCATGACTCCTCTTGTACAAGCAAACCATAGCCCTTCCTGAGCCTTTAGAATCTCAGGTTCCTCCTCTTGTATGGGGGTCTGCTTCTGCATATATATATAGCTGGTACAATAATTCTCATATAATGTGGAAGAAAAGTTAGCTAGGACGTAGCACGTCCCGTTTCCATGAAAATCTGCTAATTTTAAAGTGGTCTCTTGGTGACACTCTGGCATGTGATACGGATAATTATCCTTGGTCACCTTGATGGGTTCTGAGGAAGTTTCCGTGGTATTTGCTCCTATTCCCACAAAAAAGGGAGGCCTTGGGCTGAGGCATAACCAGCATGACTCGGTCAGCATTGGCTGAGTATTATTCAGGAAGGGAAAAAGTCTATCTAGGAGGTTTAAGGTGTCATCCTCTTGCCCGGGGGCTCTTGGGCGTCCCTCAGACCTGGGTCCCCTAGTGGGCTCGTCTGGGTACCCGTCGGTACCCTGTGCACTAGCAGGGGCCGTCTCGTTCCTTCCTAGCTCACTCCCTGATTTCTCAGGAGTCGGCCCCTTTCCCAAAGAGACTATTTGTACCGGCGGAGGCCGTGTTGACAGGGGTAGCCCTCCTCCTAGACCTTTTAACAGGGGGCTGCTCGCGAGGGGTATCCTACGTATGGTAAAGAAGGCCCCTGGGTCTGCTCCTGGTACATAGAGCCTAATTCCCCAGGTACGTCCTTTAACCCATTCCGAGTCATGCGGGTGCAAGACGGTGAAGGTGACCGTCTGGCTGCGAGAAATTATAGTGCCCCCACCTGCCCATCTCCTTTGTTCTCGGTGGACAGCGATGTGAGGGTCCTTCCCTCCTCCCGGACTCCACCCCCCGTCCGTCAGGGTCTCACATCCCCAGGCTTTACAATAGAAGTCCGTATGGGATCCGCAAGTGCGGCGCTGCCCTGAGGGGGGTTCCGGGCAGGCATAGAAGGGGGCAAATTGCAAGGCCGTCTTGAAACTATCATATTGGTTGGCGAACGACCACAAGGGTCGAGTGTCCTCATACTCCTCCTCAAAGAGTTCTGATAAATTTATTCTGAGTGAAACTATCCTCTCGCCCCATGTTTGGTTCTTGGCAAGTACAGTTCCATCCCTCGTCCTTATTAACACCCATTCCCGGAGTTCATACCCGCTCGTTTCCCAATTTAGTCCAATCAATATTAAGAGCGGGTAAAAGAGAGCCGGAGAGGCTTTCCTGGGTCCTGTCGAACTCTCCATGGTTTTTCTTCACTGGGGTCCTGAGCTGGCTTAACGTGGGAGAGGTGTATCCAGTAGGGTTTCTCAGCCACCCGAACGGCAGTCGGGGTGCTTAGCAGTACCTGGAATGGCCCGATCCACCTGGGTTCAAGGCTTCCTCGCCGGTGGTTCAGGATCCATACCCATTGACCGGGGTTCAGTGTCCTTAGTTCGCTAGCACCGCCTCTTTCATTTGCCTCCTTTTCCTCCCTTCATAGGCTCCGGATTTCTTCTCTGAGGGCCTGCAGTGCCTGTAAGGACTTTAGAAAGTTATGATTAGAGGCCTCCATCTCCTCTCTAGTCAGCTTGGGCACTAGTGGCACAGGCTGCCCGTACATGATTTCATAAGGCGTCCACCCTCTTGTGTACGGGGTACATCGAGCCCTAAATAAGGCGAAGGGGAGCAATTCTACCCAGTTCTCCCCGAGCTCCTCCTTTAATTTAATTAATGTTTCCTTCAAGGTCCGATTCATTCTCTCTACCTGCCCTGAGCTTTGGGGTCTATACACACAGTGCAATTTCCAGGTTATGCCCAATCTCCCGGCTAGGTTTTGGGATATTTGGGATACAAAGGCAGGCCCGTTATCTGATCCAATCGCCACGGGAATGCCATATCTGGGAATTATTTCTCGGACTAAGATTTTCCCTACCGTGGCTGCCGTTTCACCCTTTGTGGGGAAGGCCTCCACCCAGCCCGAGAAGGTGTCTACTAGAACTAAGAGGTATTTGTATCCCGATTTCCCTTTTGACATTTCAGTGAAGTCAACCTCCCAGATCTCTCCAGGGGCATTTCCCTTATGCCTGATAAATTGAGGGCATTTTTGATTCTGCGCGTTTACCCTGGCGCATGTCTGGCATCTGGACACTACAGACTCTATAACCTCCCTTAGATTAGGAGCCCTGTAATATTTTAATATTAACTTTTCTAGTTTTCCCTGCCCTAGGTGTGAGCTCGCATGCATTTCTCGGACTACATGGGTTAGCACTCCCTGGGGCAGGTAAAGCCTGTCATCTGGGAGCACCATCCAACCTCCTTTGTCTACCTTTCCCCCTAGCCTCCTCCCTTCTACTTCCTCTCCCTTACTATAGGTAGGCGGGGAAGGTAGCACTGGGGTAGGCACCATGGGGAGTACTCCTGCAGCCTCCTCTCCCGCCGCCTCTTTGGCCGCCAGGTCAGCCAGGGCGTTACCCCTCGCCACGGGGTCACTTCCTCTCTGGTGCCCTCGGCAGTGAATGATGGCTACCTTCTTGGGCATCCACAGCGCATCCAGCAGTTCTAGGATTTCCTGGCGATTCTTGATTTCCTTACCTCCAGCCATCAGTAGCCCGCGCTCCCGGTAGATGGCCCCATGCACATGGGCTGTTGCAAAAGCATACCTGCTGTCCGTGTAAATGTTGACCGTCCTTCCCTCGGCCATCCGGAGGGCTTGGGTGAGCGCGACCAACTCTGCTCTCTGGGCCGATGTCCCCTTGGGCAGAGCTTGTTTCCACACTACTTCATCCGCCGTCGTCACTGCCGCTCCAGCATACCTGTGTCCATTACTTACAAAACTGCTCCCATCCGTGAACCAAGTCAGATCAGCACCTTCATAGGCCTGGTCCCGCAGGTCAGGCCGTGTTCCGGCTACCGTTTCCAGGACATGGGAGCAGCAATGAGTCACTCCCAATTCGGGGACTGGTAGCAAGGTGGCCGGGTTCAGGGCAGTCGTCTTAAGGAATCTGACAGCCGGGGGGTTCAGGAGCTGTGCCTGATATTGGGTCAGTCGTGCGTTGGTCAACCAACGACCAGGCGGTGCACGGAGTACTTGCTCGACATAGTGTTCCCCCGACTACTTGGATGTCTTGCCCCAAGGTTAGCTTACTCGCCTCCTTCACCAGGACTGAGGTAGCCGCTATGGCCCTCAGGCAGGCTGGCCATCCTGATGCCACCGGGTCTAATTTCTTTGACAGGTAGGCCACCGGTCTTTTCCAAGGGCCCAGGGTTTGGCTCAACACTCCTAAGGCCATTCCTTGTTTTTCTGCCACATAGAGGAGGAACGGTTTGGCTGGATCGGGCAAGGCCAATGCCGGGGCCGAGACAAGAGCTTCCTTCAGGGCCCGAAACGCCTTCCGCCCCTCCTCAGTCCAGGCAAACTCAGTCTCTTTCCCCTTTGTCATGTCGTAGAGGGGCTGTGCAAGCCTGGCGTACCCCAGGATCCAGAGCCTACAGTATCCCACGGCTCCTAGAAATTCTCTCACCTGCCGTTTGGTGATTGGCTCTGGTATCCCTAGGATAGTCTGGACCCTTAGCTCAGATAAGGTTCTTAATCCTCCGCTCAGGTCATACCCCAGGTAGCTTACCTTGGTAGACACGATTTGTGCCTTCTTGGCTGAGACCCTGTATCCCAGCCTCTCGAGCTCCCTCAACAAGTCCTCTGTTGCTTGTTCGCAATCACTGGCGTGGGACGCAGCCACGAGAAGGTCGTCTACGTACTGTAGGAGTACTACCTCGGGGTGTTTTCTCCTGTACTCTTGTAGATCCTGGCTGAGAGCCTCGTTAAAAATGGTAGGGGAATTTTTAAAGCCCTGGGGCAGCCTTGTCCAGGTGTACTGACCTCCCAGGCCATGCTCAGGGTCATTCCATTCAAAGGCAAAAATTTCCTGGCTCTGGGGTGCCAGTGGGATGGAAAAGAATGCATCCTTTAAGTCTAAGACCGAGTAGTATTTGTGGGTGGGAGACAAAGCACTCAAAAGCGTATAAGGATTTGGCACTGTGGGATGTATTGTCTCTACCCGGGCATTCACTTCCCTTAAGTCTTGTACAGGGCGGAAATCAGATGTCCCAGGTTTCTGCACAGGCAGCAGGGGAGTATTCCAGGGGGACTGGCACTTCTTCAGAATTCCAGCGGCCAGTGACCGCAGCAAGTGCTTAGCTATCCCCTTCTTGGCTCTGGCGGGAATCGGATACTGCCTGATTCGCACTGGGGTGGCTGTACTCAATAACTGGACTACCACTGGCGCCTGATGTACTGCCAGTCCTGGGGGGTTGGTCTCTGCCCATACCCCAGGTATCTTTTCCCAGAGTGCCTGGGGAACTCCAGTGGAATGAGGCTCGGCCTCACTCACAGCTAGCAGGTACTCTTCCGACAGGGGAACAGTAACTTCTAAGCTGGGGTTCCCCTTCTCTTCCTCGGGTGTCTTGAACACTATGGAGGCTTGCAACTTTTGAAGTAAGTCCCTTCCTAGCAGAGGGTAGGGGCAATCCGGTATAATCAGAAAAGAGTGAGTGATTGTCCCTTTTCCAAGGTCCGTAATTCTCGCACTTGTCCAAGGATAAGTCTCTGATTTCCCGGTGGCCCCTATAATTTTGGCTGTCTCCTTTTCTAGTTTTCCTTGGGGCTGCTTCAGGACAGAAAAGGTGGCTCCCGTGTCGACTAGGAAATCAACTGGTCTTCCTTCGACTGTCAAGGTGACCATGGGCTCCCGGGAGCCAATGCTTATGGAGCCCTGGCCCCGTCAGTCCAGGGTCTGCAGGAGCACCCCAGGGGTCCCCCTTAGCTCCTCCATCCCCTTCCTCTTGGGGCATTCCCTCTTCCAGTGCCCCTTCTCCTTGCAGATGGCGCACTGATCCCTCTCTAGCCGGGCTCCCCTCCTCTCTCTGTTCCCCCTACCGGGGTTCCCTCTGGGTGCACCTCCTTTCCTCTGCGCCGCTATCAAAATTTTTGCTACTTCCCTAGCCTTCCCAACCTCTGGGTCATCCCTGTTGACACATACCTTTTGGGCTATTTCTAGCAGTTTACTGATATTCTCTCCCTCAAATCCCTCATCTTCTGCAATTTCCTCCTTATGTCCGTGGCTGATTGCGTGACAAAGGCTATGTTTACGAGTCTCCTATTCTCCCTTGCCTCTGGGTCTAATGGGGTATATACCCTCTACGCCTCCATTAATCTTTCCAGGAACGCGCCAGGGGTCTCGTCTCGTCCCTGCACTACCTCACTCACCTTCCCAAAATTTGTGGGCTTGCGGGCTGCTGCCCGCAATCCCCTCAGAAGAGCTCGGGGGTACTGCGGAAGTGCCTCCCTTCCCCCTCCAGTGTTCGGATCCCAATGCGGGGGATGGAGGGGAGTATTTCCTCCAACTCCCTTCTTCCTCCCGCTGTCCCTTCTTCCTCCCCCATAACCGCCTTCCCTGCTTCCCTCAGGATCCTTTCCCTTTCCTCAGACGTAAACAGGGTCTGCAATATCTGCTGGCAATCATCCCATGTGGGCTGGTGGGTCCGGAATATAGTTTCCAGTAGGGAAATCGAGCCCTGGGGTTTCTCAGAGAATGGGGGGTTCTGGTGTTTCCAATTGTATAGATCACTCGTGGAAAAGGGGACATAGATTAGCCTAGGAGGCGCCCTAGGGGCGTCCGGGGCCGTGGGCGCCTCTCGGAGCGGTAGCAGGGTCGGCTCTCTAGAGTCCGGAGCGCGCCGGCCTTTCTGTCCCTCACCACTGTAAGAGGTCCCTCCCCGGGTGTGGGGCGGACTAACAATTTCCCCGGATTGCTCGGAGGAATCGGGTGCCGCCTGGGCGGGATACGGCGGTGGGGCGTTAACAGGATCTAAGGGGTCCTCCGGCCGGCCTGGCAGGACTGGATACGGCCGGTTCCCTTCAGGTCCCGATGACGGCTGGGGCTCAGCACTCCCCCTTCTGCTATTTCCTTGGGGGCCTCTCTTCTCGCCCGATCCAGGGGCTAGGCACACCGCTCTGCCCCTCCTGTTTGTCCCTGCCTGCCCTTGGCTGCACTTCCGGACGTAGCCCGGCCTATCCGTGGCAATATCCGTCCAGACATTGATGTAGATTTGCTGGTCCGGATGAGGCACCACGTAGGTGACTCGTTGGACCGAGAAACAAATTGGCAAGTGGAAAGTTCCCTCAGTCGGCCACCCAACATTAAAGGTGGGCCACTCAAGCTGGCAGAACGCTCGGAGGGCCTCCGGGTCGGGAGGACTCCCTCCATAGCGCTCCGCCCGCTTTCTGAAATCAGAGAAGTTTTTCAAGATGCAATCCAAAGGTGAACCCTCGACCGCTCCCGTGGATCCCCCTTGTCCCGTGTCTTTACGTATGTGGGTCCAAAGATCGTGACTTATGAGACCGAGGAGGGTCAAGATTAAACACGCGGCCAGGCTCCACACTACTCTCTCACTTACGCCGTTCACTCTTCGGCCGGCCTCACACACGCACATTTAGGAGACGACTCAGACAGACGGGAACGATTAAAGCACTTTCACTTTCGCCCGCCTGGCCTCTCCTCTCGCGAGGGACTTGGGTCTGTCTTAGCTAAGGCTGCCCAAGTAGAATCCGGGTTACCTCCCAGCCGTTATGCCATATGACAGACCGAGGACCCGCAGGTTGGGGCTCACTCAGACTCCGTAGGCTCGCTGTCCCGTGGAGTCACACAGACAGGCACTCGCTCACTCACACGGCACTTTCGCATGCGCTCCCGTACCCGTTTCTTCCCGCGCTGCGCACCAAAACCGACCTCAGGCGACCCTGTCGCGACTCCCGAGGGCGTCCCCTCCTTGGGAGCCCCCTGGGTGGACTGCTGGTGACGTCTCACCTACCACCTCAGGGCTGCAAAGGCTAGCCTTTCCTTCCCCTTAAGAGAATTCTCGGTTTAACTCACCCAACTCGAGCTGGTCCCTTTGATTCCCGTCCTTTTACCCCACAAAAGGGGGAATCTCGCTGGGGCCTCCAAATGTTATGATCCCCGCAAGTATGAGCTCAGGAATTAGAGTTTGATCACACACTCTTTATTATTTGGCCAAGTTTTACCTGCGCAGGGGCCACCTTTCCCTCGAAAGGAAAAAGGCGCGCCGCTGTAAGGGTACACGGGTTTTTATAAGCAGAGCAAGCAAGCAAGATACAAGGGCCAAGCAAGATACAAGGGCGAGAAGTGGCAGTTAGTGATAGGCAGCTTCTTTCTTTTTTTTTTTTGCTGATTAGGTTCAAGGCTGTTACTGGGCCCCCTACTCTGTCTTTCTCTGGTCAGGATGTTTATCTGAGGCAAGGCTCAACCGTTGCCCTATGCCTTCTCCTCATTCTTGTCGACTCTGGCCCAGCTGCATGGGGGCTGCACCCTGATATGTTTTTCTTGGTATTAGTTTCTCCCTTATCCTCAGCTCTGACCCTGCTTTTACCGGCTGTTTATCTGAGTCAAGGCTCAGCCGTTGTCCTATCTTGTTATTAAGGGGGGCTCTAATTCTTCCCTTCATCTTGGGGTATTGTTTGTTCTAGTTTCTTGTTTCGGCCCAGGCTTGACCTAGTGTTAAAGTTTGGCCCCTTCAATAATGACGACTACCAAGGGTATAATAATGGGTATAATAGTCCTGTGTATAATATGCACAAGAACGTGGGTGCACATTATACATCACAAAATATGCTAATATAATAGACTATTTTTTAGAGAAGTTTGTTTTACAGAAAAATTGAGCAGAAAGTAGAGTTTCCATAGATACCCTATAACCCCTCAGTTTCCCCTTAACATCTTGCTCCGTATGGTACCCTTATTACAATTAACGACTTTATATTGATCCAGTGTTATTAACTGAGGCCCGTAGTTTACATTAGGGTCCACTCCTTGCGTTGTGCATTCTGTGGGTTTTGCCAAATACACAATGCCATCGGCGGGAAGGACATTTTTTTCCTTCTCCCCTCTAGGTTCTTTGGTTGGTCTGATAATTCAAAGAGCATAAGACAGATTCACAGGAGAAAAACAAATGTAGTTCCGTGCGTGCTGGAGCAAACAGTAGGAACACGGAGGCACCCCGGGGCGAGGAGCGTGGGTTCTGGCCCCCGACCTGTCTGCGTGGAGACGGCCGCTGAGAGGAGGCGTGAGCTGGGGAAAGGAGCGAGGAGCGGAGGGCGCGCCCTCCCTGGAGGCCTGCGTTCCGCGTATCCGGAAGGAGGAGCGCGGCCGGCCGCCGGCCTACGGGAAGAGCGAGCGCTGGTGGGCAGTGGGAGCTGACCCGCCCCCCCCCCGCCCCCCGCTCCGTCGCCCAGCGCCCTGGGCTAGTTCTCGACCCGGGTTTCTTCGCCCAGGTTAGAGTACGCGTGGCAGAGGGCAGCGACGAGGACGACGCGAACTGCTGCGAGGGCGGAGTGCAGCTCCGCCTCTGGCACCTGGTGTTCAACAAATATTGGCTGTTTTTACCCCGGGCCACGGTGGCGGTGGTTTTCCCGCTTCTGCCCGGTTCCGGGAGGGGGGCGAGGAAGAGCCCCTCCTGCTAGAGAAAACCTGGAAGACCACGTGGCCCCGATGATCAAAACCTCGCTCCGTCGCCTTAGCGGGCTCCAGCGGAAAACCGGCGCGTCCGCAAACGTCGGCCCCGCCCCTCCTCGTTCCGACAGGCGGCCTCCACCGGGTTCCCCCCGCCGCGCAGGAACCCCAGCGGTGCGCTGGCCAGACCGGGCCCCCGACAACCGGGACCCCGCGGCCGTTCTCCCGTCCCTCCTCCGCCGCCGCCGCGGGAAGGGCGCCCTTCCCGCGGCGGAGGGATAACCTCTCCCCGGGTCTGTGCGCGCGCCCCGCGGCAGAGCCTTGGCTTCTCATCAACGGAGAAACGTCCTTCAGTCTCTCCCGTCCTAAAAAGGCACGTTCCGTACGCCTTCTGGAAACTGCCCTCTCTCCTTCCGCGCACAGCCACGCTCGCCCTCGCGCACGTCCCCACGACTGGCCAAGCCGGGCTCGGCCCGCCTCGTGCCTCTGGCCCTGTGCTCACACGGTCACCGGCTAGCTAGCGGTCGAAGTGCACCTCCCCCGCCCCCGCCCTTGGGGTCTCACGGCTCTGCTCTCGCTTCGCTTCTCAAGAACATTTGGTGTTTCTTGGTTTCCGGTTCCCTTTTGTCAGGGTCTTGTGATTTCACACGCGCTTGCTGTTCTGTCTCTCTGACCGTTTGCGCGAGCTCCATTGCAGACCCACTCACTGCTTGTCACGTAAATGTCGGGGTCCCCCACTGCTTCATCTCCTGCCTCTTTTTTCTCATTTGAGCTCTCATGGTCTCCTCCCCTCCCTGAGTGCATTAGCTGTTATTTATGCCGATGGCCCCCAAGCTGTCTTCAGCCTAGATCTCTCTCCCGATACCCAGCTTTTACACCCACCACACATACTGGCCAAAGTCCCCGGTTATCCTGCTCCTCAGTTGGAGAGTCTGGTTCTAGGCACGAGTCCTATGTGTGACCTTTCATTCCCACCCCCAGGCACCTGGAGGACTTTGCTCCGCAGGCCTCCTATGGGAACTGCCCGCCCCCGCCCCCCACAGCAGGTGGGGCGCAGAGCAGAACAGTGCCGGTTTCTAGGCCGACCTGCAGTCAGGAACTCGGGCTCCACGGGGCCAGCCGCGCCCACGTGCGCGTGCCTGCATTCCAGGCCCTGGGTCAGAGGCCCCAGCTGGAAACCGTGGTAACTGGCGTTCCTGCTGCCTGTCCTCCCCAGGCCCAATAAGCAGAGGCAGGGACCGAATCTCTACCGGCGCTTTATTCCAACAGCCGGCGAGCTCAGGAGATGGCGGGTTTGTGCCCTCACAGGCCCTCTGACCCTTCCTTTCAAGCCAGGCTTTTTATAAGGAGCAAAATGTGTCGGTAAGGGATTTGGAATTCAGGAAAGAAGTCAATCGGTAAAAGCGGCCGTCTGGAGATTTCCGTAACTGTGTAGAGCAGGACCAATAAAGTGGCGTTGGTCTGTTCAAGACAGCATGACACATAAAACAAGATGGTGTCACTCATGTCAACCAAGGTGGCTGTCGGTCAGCCGTGACACTTTGGTTCAAGAGGGAGACTACTGAAGTCATGCTAGACATGTCTGGCAAGGAGACACACCCGACACCTGTCCACGTGCTCAGAGCAGACACAGCTTGAGACTAACATCCTTTGATCCGCTGACCAGTGATTTTCTATCTGTGTCCTGTGTCCTGGGTGATTTTCTTTATCTGTGTCCTGGGCAGCGGGATGTCTCTTCCTGGACCACAAGGGTGCAGAGAGCGTCTCGATCGCTGGTGGTCTCCCCTGGAGCACAGAGGCCGAATCACTGTGTGTCCGGGAGCCGGGCGGCTGTACCTGCAGTTCCTGAAGCAACAGCATGTCACATGCGTTCACAGGCTTATTAACTATGACCCGAAACCACAATTTCCCACTCTTGAGTTTCCCCCAACAAGCTGGGGCCCCCCCTCCCCTGCGAGTCAGCCCCTTGGCACACCTAGCCCGTCTCCCAGACCACCCCCCACAGTTCATCGACCCTTTGGTTCAGGGGTCTCGGGCCGAGAGGAGGTCTCACCATCCGTGCCGTGCCACTGCTAACCCTGTTTCCAAACCGCTGCTTTCCAAACCTGCCCGCGCAGTCTGCGGGGAGGAGGGAACCCTGGGAAGGCGCGCTTGTCCTATTCCTCTGGCTCTTGTCCTAGTGAGCTGGCTGTCTGGGCACTTGATTACTTGACACCATTCGGGGGCCCTTTGCATTGGAAAACTTGTGTCTCTTCAGCAGAAGGAAATGGGGTTTGTGGGGCTTCCAGAATCTGTGTGTTTATTTTTTTCATTGTTTATAAAATTATTGACCATTATTTCTTCTAATTCTTGTTCTTTCCCGCCTTCTCTTTCTCCTCTTTCCAGATGCGCGTACATTCGGTTGCTGAAGTCGTGCCATAGCGCACTGATACTGGGCGTTTGCCAGTCTGGTTTTCCTCCTCATCTTTCACTTCGGATAGTTTCTGTTGCTGCGTCATCCGATTCCCGGATCGCGATCTGTTCGTCTACAGGGTCGAATCTGCTTTTAAACCTAATTCAGCATATTTTTCAGGCATTGTAGGTATTTTCATCTCTAGAATTTTGAGTTGGATCCTTTTAAAAATATATTTCTCTACCTTCTTGAACATATACAATGTGATTTTAATAACTTTTAATGTGCCAATGTATTATTCTATCTGTTATTTCTATTAATTTATTTTTCTTCTAACGTTGGGTTGCATTTTCCTGCCTCTTTGCATGTAATTTTTGATCGGATGCCAGACATCGTACATTTTAAATGGGTGAGCGCTTGAAATGCCTGTGTTCCTATACATATGGTTGCGTTTTGTTCTGAGATGCAGTTAAGTTATATGGAAATAGTTTGGTTCTTTTGTTACCAGAGAGGGAGCAGCCGGGAGCAGGCTCTTGACTTTGTGTAGGGAAGGTTTCACAATACGACTCTGGGTGATTTGGGGTGGACGTTTACTAAAGCTGGGGACAGTGCAAAAAAGGAAGGACTAAGCGTAGAGAAAGCAACAGGAGAGAGCCTAGGCGGGGCTCTGCTTTGGTTCCCGAGAAAAGTTACAGGAAAGGAGTGAGCCGAGGCGGGGCTGCCGTCAGCCCAGTCAGCTCCCTGGGAAGTCAGAGGAAAAGGGGGCCTCAGAGGCAGGGTCAGAGGGGGAGGCCGGGGCAGCCGCCGCGGCCCTGGCTGCCAGTCTTGTGGGAACCCTTAGAGTCTGGGCGGGAGTAGGAGGCTCATGCCTGGGTAGGGCAGGGCAGGGCAGGCTCTAGGGCCAGCCGGAACCTCAGGGGCCTTTGCCCTGAGGGCTTTTTATCTTTTTTTTTTTTTCCCTGTGAGTGAGACTCTTAGGACAGGGTTTCAGCCAAATATTCATCCCCTTTCCAGGTGCGTTTTAAATACGCTGACGCATCAAAATGAGCGCACAGGGGAGACTGGGATGAGTCTCTGGTCTGCTTCGCTGTTTTCTTCTCCCTTGGGTCTGTCTGGCTTTCAATGGGGTTTTTGTTATTTGCTCTGCTGACTTCCTCTGTCCTTGGCTTTGGCTGGCACAAATGGCATTAATGGGTCTCTGTTTTCTCTCTCCCAGACCAGAGGGATTTAAGCCGTGTATCCTCCGGTCGGGGAGGAGAGGCGTAACCCGATTGCTCTCCAGTGTCCTTGGTCAGGGGAGATGAGGGCTCACGGGTCACCAGCCGGCTACTAGTTGCTCAGGCCCGTTGGGCAGGTTCAGGCCTCTCACTCCAGGTGCCCCTTCCCTTCCCCAGGAAGTTCTTTTGCTTCCCACTCCCCTGCCTCGCTTACAAGGCTTACTTTTGTTGGATGGGACCAGGCGAGTATTTCGTGTTGGAGCTAAATTTGCCCCGCTTTTGAGGTCATGTCCTTCCGACTCTCCATGGATGAGTTATGAGGTTTTCCATTCTGGCTCGTGAGCCCTTCCCGCTGGGTATGAGCCCCTGGCATTGGGCTCCCCCTCCCAACTGGTTCTTGCTCTGGTCTCAAGTCCCCTGACACACATGCTCGGGTCAGTATTTAGCCACATACTTGAGGGAGACTTTCAGTAGATCTCCGGAGCTTGCTCTCAGGGTCCAGCTCTCTCCTCCCTGGTTCGCTGCCCGGAAAAACCCCGCTGCTGCGCCCCTTTGGACCCCTAGCTCCACCTCGGCGGCTCGCAGCGGGCTGAGTGCCTGCCGTTGAGCAGAGGGAGGCCAGGCAGCTTCGCAGCGCGGCAGTGAGGAAAAATATGCAGTGCCTAGTAGGTCATAGATAATATAATGTTTTATATGCATACATATTCTGCCAGAAGGTCACCATCATTGTGCTATTTTTTAGATCCTTCCTCCTCTCCATTTTCTCTGCTCCCTCCTTTATAGTAGAAAGTTGCTCTTGCTTGATTGACCTTTGGTGTCTCTCGTTCTGTTTTTGTTCTTTATGTCTTTGTATTTTTGCACTTGATTGTGAAGAACTTTCTTGACCTTTTGAAAAATTTTTATTTCTGCAATTATGTGTTTAATTTTCACAAGCACTGTCTCACTGTGATTGCTCTTGTTTTGTAAAGTAGCATCTTGTTCTTGTTTTCTGGATGCACGAACACATCAGGCTGTGCAGGATTTGGGCTTTTCTGGCCTGCTTGTCTTCTCACCGTTCTTTCTCTTCAAGAGTAAATTTGTTCTATTTGCTTCTCTTTGTCTTCTCTTTTAGGCTGTTTGTTTTTCTCCTTGTCTAGTAAACTTCAAGTGCCCATTTATATTTAAAAGGACACAGGTTTTAAAAAAAAATTAAAAACCACGTAAAATGATCCTTGGGCATCATTACTGATGTCTTATTTAGTAGAGCAAGTTGTTTCTGGGTTGGAGGTAATAAAAGGTTATGAGCCCCAAGAGTAGGCTCTTCTCAGTACAACTGCCCAGGCTACCGCGTGGCAAGTGTAAGGCTGAGTCGTATGTACCCCCGCTCCCCACCCCCATCTCTTATCTCATTTCCGTCATTCGCAAAGCTTACTTGCTGCTTCAGCAATAAACCGAAACAAAATTCCATGCTGAGCGGCGACTGAGTCCTCATTTCCCATCCTCAGACTCAGACTTCATGGCTGGTCTCGTGTGTACGGATGCTTTCTGTGACCCTTCCATGACACCTGGGATCCGCATGACCTGTCTGGGGACAGCAGCCTGCATCTGCCGCCGGCAAGCGCAGCCCTTTTGTCGGATGCAGGCCGGAGGTCTTAGCAACGGCGCGTGGGGACATGGGCGCTGCCGCTCGCGTCCCCGTGGCCCGGGCATTTCGGAGGAACGCGCTCTGCACCGCTGCTGAGCGTCTCCTGGATTCAGGACACTCACCTGCGTTGACACCTGGCTTCTTAGAAGTCTTCCCTTGCTTGTATCGTCTCCCTCTACCCTAGTGCTGTCCCTACGTCTCTGAGAAAAGCCACACGCTCTCACGTACCATCTCGGGATCTTCTCCTGGGAAGGAGGCAAGTGCCCACGGAGGGGACTGTGGGCCAGAGGTTGGCGCGCTTCCCCTGGCGGCCTTCTAGCCAGGGCGCCGCCCTCCGCTCCCCGAGGCTCCCGAGGGGGGGCGGCAATGAAGGTGGGTCTCACCCCGGTGTTTCCTGTACTGTGTTGCCGCTCCTGGTGGCCAGAGGGACTTACAGGCCGCAGGCGGCGGGTCTGCCCTCCGACTGGTGACCCGCAGCGAACACAGGCCTGCAGGGCCGGCTGCCGTGAGAGCCGCTTCTGCGGCCGCGGGGTCCGTGCCTGCCCGCCTGTGCCGCGACTGGGAGCTTTTTCACTCCTGCGCACGGAGAAAGTGCCGGCAGCATGGAAACCTGCTCGTGTTGCCCTCACTTGACAGTATGCGTATCCTTGAAGGGATGGCGTCTCCCTCTGGCGGGGGCCGGAGGGCTTGTTAAAACAGATCCAAACCCAGGCCTCGCTCCTAGAGTTTTGGGCCAGGGCCTGGGCTGGGGCCAGAGAGTCTGCATGTCTAGGTTCTAGGTGATGGCTCTTGTCCAAGAAACACACTTGGAAAACCATCGCTTTGAGGAATTTGGATGTTCTTCTCATGCCAGCTGAGATGACTATCCAGTACCTTAGCATCTCTGCTCCTTTCTTGGAATCTTCTGATACAGTTGACCTATGCAGTTACCCATGCGACGGTATTGTATCTGATGGACTGTCGAAGTTACTTGCTGGTGATGGCAGGATGTTTAGAATTTTCTATTTATGTAGTTATCCTTGGGTGAGCTTCTTCCATGTTAGCAGTTCGCCTACCCCAGTAAAATATTAGCCTGCTTCATTTAGTTTTAAACACAATTAGCAATCTCATTCTTTTCCAACGTAACAGTTAACACACCCACATATATTACAGATACAGTGCAGTGTCTGTCCAAAGCAATGAGGTTCGCAATCTCTCAGGACACTCCTCTGCATGCATAAAGTGACGCATTCTACACGCATAAAGCCTTATGCTTTGAAGGCAACGCTCAGATCTCTTCCTTAACTCAGGTGCATTTGCATTGTGATTTCTGGAAATGAGAACAAGGTCCCCGAGGAATCTGTGGGCCGCAGTGTGTCCCGGAAATGAGGAGATGGAGTTGAGGGTGGAGCCGAGAAGGGAGGGAGACGCCGGCTGAGAGGCCGTGGCGGCCGTCGCGGCCGTGGCGAGCCGGGAGGGCTGCACCAGAGCCTCCGTGTGTGTGCGGGAGCTCGGAGCGCCAGGCAGGCAGGAGAGGTTGAGCAGAGGGCAGGCCGGGCGCTGTGGTGGGGCCGGGGGCGGGGAGCAAAGTGTGGGGCGGGAAGCACACCCCTGGCACCGGAAGCGGCAGAGGCGTAGCGATAGCTCCCTGAGCGCATCCTTAACGCTGGGGAAGCAGAATTGTCTCTGATAGCCCTTAATCAGGAACCCTGCTTTGATAGTCTCTACAAAACATCAAGGCATTCACTGGCTGTGTTGAAGAGCAAAATGTGGAAAAGAAGGCTAGAGGCTCTTTTATATGAAACATCTCGGCCACGGGGAGCCGGGTCTGTCTTGCTTACGCCGCCGTTCATGCCATCTTCCATGTCACCTTTATTGCAAATGTCTTTGGTTTACTAACAGTTTAGAAGCAGAAGGGAGAAATAAGGCTTTGAGGGGAAATGTGATGTAGCTGATGACCAATATGGAAGGCCAGTTTGTTCTTGGAAAGGAAATTTGCCTGATACATTGTAAATGAACACACTCTGGTACTCACTCCACCCCTGTAAGCTATGCCCTGGATCCTTATTTAATTCCCCGTTGCAGGGAACATGCTTTTGCTCATCAGAAATACTGCATTCTAGGTTTACCTTTATCGTTAGAGACCCGCTCAAAAGACATCACCTAAAACCACCCATGTGTTCAGACAGATGCACGGAGGAGCAAAAGGCACCCCCACCCCCAGCACACAATTCAAGCCCAGTTAGCCACCGGGGGCGCTTTTTGGGAGGTGTCTTCTTTCTCAGG